AGTTAAATTAAAAGAGCAGCCATCTTTACATTTATGAAAGAACAAATACTATTAATGTAGTGGTGTACCTTCAAAAGTGGCAGTGCAGTTACTATTTCACTAAATTGTTTAGACAGAAAGAAAAAAGGAAGACATACAATTAAAGTACAATTTGTATTTCTTAGTAAACGATGGTTCTAAACATGTGACTTCTCACAAGTATTTTTTCATGAAAACTTAATACAGATTGACAGAATTATCTCAACTTTTATAAGACAAGAGTCAACGTAGATACAAATATCGTTTTAACAAGGGACGTATACTTAATAAATATTCCTTAAACAAGAAGTTTTATTTGTTATTCATTGAAAACGTAATGTTTGATCGGCGTGTCGTATGACGTAGAGTTCTTCAGATTTTTTGTTCAACAAGATGGGAAATTAAACTAGTAGCTCTTAAGTTTAGCGACCGTGTTGATCGCATCCTTTTGAACTTAAAATAAATGATACCTCATGATCATATACAGTTATGTTTGGTTTTTATATTGACATCTAGAAAGTGACAGAACAGTTGAGAACTAAACTTTACGACGAATGAGTTATTCCAATCCATTGTAATCTTTACATTTTTATTTTTTTAAGCACCTACATATAGAGTTTCCATCTCTCAGGAGATATTATATTCTACACCTTTGTTTCAAAAAGGATTTTCGTGATAGATAACTGCTGCTTCCAGTGGTGCTGCCATACTCAAGTTTTTTTTTACAGACACCATCTTCATTAAATTTACCGTTATGGAATATTTGTGTCACATACCGCCACGGATGTTTCAATTGTCGTAGCCACATTCCCGTCAACGTCTCCCCGTCATGGCATTACCGAATGATAGTTACATATATTACAGGGGTATCGCTACCTCAAACAAAACGATCAGCGTTAATATTTGAGCAGGAACTGCCTACCGTTCCGATGCACCTACTTGAGTCTCGGTTTATGTGTAGTTTGTGTAGGTCCTACTTTTTCGTGTACTGTTTGGTTGAAAATTGTTTGTCTGTTGTGCGTCGATTTTCTTTTGTACACGATTCTTTTTGTTGTTTTACATTTGTTTGTTTGTAATTTACGGCTTTATCTGTATATCGCAGACACAATTAACTTTATAGACGAAAAGTTACCATTGACTTCCTGACTGCATAAATCTGCACATTAAAATGCAATATAATGTGCTTTGATAAACATTACTTCGCGATAAAAATTGCTCAACTCTTGATTTTTATAGAGAACTAATGCAAATGGGCAATAAGAAGGACGAAATGAAAAGATCGAGAGAAAACAACATGACACAAACATGTTTAGATAGAAATCGTGATTCCAACTGCATATATTTGAGATTTGAAAAAAATCTAGTTAACTTATTTTAATCCAGTATAAAAACTACACCAAGGCTGTGGTTGGGTAAAAATAATTTGGCAACCTTGAATTCTCCCGTGCAGCGGTCAACACAAAACGAAATGTGGCATTTATTTGGCTATGCAATTATAAATATGCATATATCCTGGTCAGAACGGGGTTTATTACATTAGAAACCTATACATTTTGTAACTACTGGATTTATTGTTAATTTGTTCTTGTCTTGATTATGCACGGAATATTAGGCAAACATTGATAAAACATTGATTTTCATCTATAAATGCTGAAAAGGGAACGTCTAAAACCCGCTCAGGACTCCTGAGTGCACTCAGGACATGAACAGTTCACTCAGGACATGTTATTAGATTCAAAATCAAAATTGAAATATATCATTTGAAAGATGAATATATTTATAATCTGCAAGTGTTTGTTTTAAGATTATCAAAGCAATATTTGTTGCAAAATCAAAATATTTTATGGATGCAATAGATAACGATAAAAACTGTAGAATTCTTTGGAGGCATTTGAAGGATATGAATTCAACAACAAAACAGGAAATTGACATTTTAACACACGAAGGAAAAGTACTTATAAACAAAAATGATATTGATAACTGCTTAAATGATCATTTTAGCACAGTAGGTGAGAAGCTGATATCAAATCCTCACAAAAGTTTTAAATCTGAGAAAATTAACAACTATATCAAATCAAAAATAAATGATGATGCTAAATTCTCATTATATACCGTCACAAATGATGAGGTTCTACAAGCTCTAAAAAATCTAGACATAACTAAATCAACCGGAACTGATGGTGTTGGACCAAGAATTTTAAAATTATCAAGATCGATTGTAGCAAGCCCCCTTGCTCACATAATAAACCTTAGTTTATGTACAGGAATATTTCCTAATATATTAAAATTTGCTAAAGTTGCTCCCATATTTAAAGGAGGGGATAAAACAGATCCAAACAATTATCGACCCATTTCAATTTTACCCACTGTGTCCAAGTTATTTGAAAAAACTGTCTTTAAACAACTATATTTATTCTTAACCACACACAAATTATTAATACAACAGCAGTCTGGATTTAGAGAAAAACATTCTTGTCATACAGCACTCATTAAAATAATTGATAAATGGTTAGAGGAATTGGACTATGGAAATTTTACCGCTGTTCTTTTTTTAGATTTTAAGAAGGCATTTGATACAGTAAATCACAATATACTTTTATCTAAACTAAAATTATACAATTGTGATGAACACTCTGTAAAATGGTTTTCATCATACCTCTCTCAGAGAATGCAAAAAGTCAAGTTAGGAACCACCGAATCAGAATATAAAACTGTAACTTTTGGAGTTCCCCAAGGTTCTATACTTGGACCTTTATTGTTTCTTATTTATATCAATGACTTACCATTAACCTTAGAATATACAGAATCTGATCTATATGCTGATGATACAACTTTACATTTGTCATCTAAATCTATCGTAAATTTAAATATATGTTTGAATAAAGACTTAGACAATGTTATTAAATGGTGTAAAGAAAATGATATGATGATAAATAGCAAGAAATCAAAATGTATGCTTGTTGGATCAGACAGAAAACTACAAAGCTGCAATGAATGTTTATGTGTTTTATCACAAGATAATATCACTTTAGATAATGTTGAAGTTGAAAAACTTCTTGGAATTCATATTGATAAAAATCTATCATGGTCAAATCAAATTGATAAAATATGCGAAACTATTTCAACCAGAATATACCTGTTAAAAAGGTTGAAACGTTATTTACCGTTAAAAGGTCTTATTCTTTTTTACAATAGCTATATATTACCCATTATTGACTACTGTTGTACAGTATGGGGTCTTACCACAAACTGTAATCTGGAGAGGATACATTAGCTCCAAAAACGTGCTGCAAGATTAGTTTTATCTGTTTCTTTTGATTTTCCCTCAACATTAATGTTTAAAAAGCTTGCATGGATGACTATATTTACAAGAATACAATATTTTCAAGCTGTGTTAATGTTTAAATGTATGAATGGTCTAGCACCTGATTATCTATCTATTAAATTTACTGCTTGTACTGATCGTTATAATTATTGTCTCAGGTCGACAACATCAAGACTTCTTCATGTACCAAGACCTAATTCTGAATTTTTAAAAAGAACATTTAAATATTCTGGTCTTATTACTTGGAATAAATTACCAAATAATATTGTAGAAATAAATAATTTAGATACATTTAAGATCAAATGTTCAAACTATTTTCAAACTGTACAGAATGAAGATGCTTGATTCTAATGTATTTTTTCTTCTTCTATTGAATGCATATGTACTTATTCAATATTCAAGCTGCTATGTATAACAGTATTATGTTTTTTATTTTGTTTGTATTTTGTTTTTTTTTTTCTTGGTTTTTTTTTTGTTTTTTTCTTTTCTATTTGTATTAATAGTTTTTGAAGGCCTCATTGAAGATTAACATGTAATTGTTAAATGTGTTACCTTCGTTAAATAAAGAATTTTATTATTATTATTATTGATGAAGATATTAAAATTCTTATCGGCACTTGTCATACTTCTGTGATATGTCATGCGTGACCAATGTTTACTAACCAGAACCTCTGAAATTTAGTATCAAGCTTTACGGGTTCATACTTTACCTTGTGATGCGTTTTCACATCAATTACTTATCGATTTTCTGCTGATTGAATACTTAATTTATTATACAAAATGGATGTGTATAATATTTTCGTCGCATTTATACATCGGAAAATGACCTGAGGTCATCATATCTGCATAACAATATTATATAGTAATATAATAATTTTTTTTGGCTATTTCTCTTCAAGTAGTGAACAAACGTGTATTTAGTAAATGCAATGCATCCAATGTAGCCGTGTTCCTGGTAAATCGATACTGAAGTAACAAGACACAAAAACGTGTTGTATGTGTCATTATTTTCAATAGCTCTCGAGGAAACGAACCCCAACATTTAAAATTGTTACGGATGACGGCACAGCTCACTGGTTCATAATGAGCCATATGGGCGCATGCTCTGTTAATATTTCCTCTTCTTGAAAACTTATGAATATTATGACATCAAATTGAACCGAAATCCTTCTTTCAGGTTCTAACGTTTTGATGTTTCTTCAAATTGCGTCCTACTGGACAAGTAAATTGACATACATGAATTTCAATTTCTGTTGTTTAACACGTCTTATGAATGGTTAAACTCATACATGTAATCACAAAAACTTGATAGATGTGTTCAGCATTGGTAAGGTGCCGTTCGAGATTGCATAAAGTTCAAATGAGTAGGGCTAAACGCGACATTTAAACTCATCAAATTGTTAAATTTAGATTAAAAACGATGAAGTCAAGTATAAATCATATATTTTTTTCACGTATTGCTTATTAGAAGTTTACTTAATAAACTCATCATAGATACCGTGTAATATCGTCTTGATAAAAAGTAAATTCTGGCTTTAAGAGATTTAACACAAAGTGGATAATGGTTTTCTGAAATCATCACACTGGGCATTATTACCCATATCTATCCAGGTGGCGATCTATGTTGAATTAGTATCAAGAGATTTTAGGCAAAGAAGATCATTTTAGATTTTAGTTTAAACATATTTCTTCTACATTTAACATATTTAACAATACAATATATAAGAGCATACATACATTACATATTATTTCAACATTTGTATCAATTGGACAGAAAAATCAAGTGACACAAAAGAAGCAGCAAATAATAAAAAGAAAACAAAAAGAAATAGAATACAGAAAAACAACAAGAAAATCAATTAATAAAATATATGAAAAAAAATAAAAAAATCCAAATAACAAAAAACTACTGAACGTAGTGTGTATGTTCATGTTTTACTATCTAAACAATAAGTAATCTATTTGACCCTTCAATAAACTCAAACATATGTTTAACGATATGTTCATTCTGATACTGAGTAAGTAGACATTTATCCGAGGTAAATAGTTCTTTATTTAATGGACAGTAATTTGGGAGCTAGCTAAGATTTTCTGAAAGCTTACTTCGTCTGTTTCCTTAATATAATATACATTTAAAAAAAAGAAATGATGCCATACACACCGCAGCAGCAAGATGGATCAGAAATAATATTAACTCTATAAAGATCATAATTTAAGAAGGAAGTAAAACATCGAAGTTGGTTAAGAATAATATTGAGTTTGCGACTTCCAAACTCATATGGTTTTGGCATGTATGTATTACTATTGTTTTTTAAGTTTTTTTAGTTTCGTTTTTAATTTTCCTATTGTATCTGCTTCACTGGTTAAATTATCAAAATTCATTAGTTAATGCAAGTCTGCAGAATGGAAGTGTTATTTCGTTACCATTATCTTCAAAAATGTTTTTTTACCGTCGTAATGTCGACTGCTTATATAATGACTTTATCGTCGGGTGTTTGTAAATGATTCTAATGACCGATCACATCGCCGTTATTATTTTCAATTTACAATAACTTGTATGCACCTCTTTACTGTTTCTTTTTCTAGCAGAAACTGTAAACACACGTTCCATTTCCGCGATAATATTCCTCTGTTCGACATTTTCCCTTCGAGGGACAACTTGCGATTGCGCATTGGGAACTGCAGAGTTAAGGTCAACATAGGTCATATGAATAAGGGTTGGCTTAACATCGAATTTTTGTCTATAGACAACAATGAAATTCAGGTGTAAAACGTTAAAAAGCTTCTAAATGCTAATTGGAAAGTAAACAGTGATGGTTTGATTCATTCTAAATAAACCTTTTGTACAAAATCCGGCATATAGATTAAAAAAATAATTTTAATGAAAATCGTAGCTACTATCGTTTAACAATGATGATAAGCTACCGTAATGAACAAGGAAAAGACAGGCGTTTTTGATAAAAATACATATCCAGTTATTTGAATATTATTAAAAATGTGGTGAAATTACCAAACAGTAGTTTAGAAAAAATCCTAAATAAGTTTACTGAAATAACAAAACAAATAATCATCTCATTATAATTGGCTCACAGAATATACAAATTCAAAAACGGCATAGCCAAACCAATGGTTACATTTACTAAATAATTAAAAAACAAAGCGAAGAAATATCTGTTTTACATTTACAGAAAATTGGAAATAGTATGTTATAACAAAAAAAAAATGTGTAACAAAATATAAAAATTGGAAATAGTATGTTATAACAAAAAAAAAATGTGTAACAAAATATAAAAATATAAAAGAATATACAAATTCAAAAACGGCATAGCCAAACCAATGGTTACATTTACTAAATAATTAAAAAACAAAGCGAAGAAATATTTGTTTTACATTTACAGAAAATTGGAAATAGTATGTTATAACAAAAAAAAAATGTGTAACAAAATATAAAAACAAAAGACATATATGATATACCAGTTAACGATATAACCCTATACAGTTATTACATAAAATAACTGACACTTGTTATTGTGGAAAAATAAGAGTTATCTCTTTGTACAATTCGATTTTGGGTACTGATACAACATGTACAATTTAACATAGAAACTACAAAAAGTTTTGCAGAGGGAAGATATAGAATTATAAAAATACAACACTATACAAAACTTATATTTTTATACTGAAAATTAATAATTTTAAGGTGCAAATTGCATCTTTGTAAATGACCATGTAAACATATAAATAGAAAACAGGACAATAGATGCTTCTCCTTTATGCAATAAATTAAAGGTTCATGAAAAGTATGAACACTTTTTATCACATGCAATAATTCGAAACTTTTTTGAAAGTTATAAATTATTTTTTGATAAAATAAAACTAGAATATCGGATAACATATATTTTCAACAATATCAAAACATATCTATATATAAAGACAAAGGGAATTTAATATCTAAGCTTCAAATCGTCAAACATCTGCAATTTAACTAAAACAATATATAGTAACACAAAAGATAAACATGTCACCTTTTAAAAGATTCTGTTCGCATATTTTTTTATAAAATCTCAGTTGATAAATCACCCAGTTGATTCATATTTTTAATTGATATACAAAATGTTGCACCTCCCTCTGGTGAAGTTGTCCTTTGACAAGTGTTTTGGTGTTTTGTGTAGAACATTTCGTGATTTTTGTGTATGTTCAAATTTGGATGTTTCGCTTTTAGTTTGTTTTTGTCTCTTGAGTAAGTTATTAGCGGTACTACAACATAAAGTGTGCATAGCAACTGTATAATATGTTTTTGAACCTCTCTAAGTAAAGATAATCTTTGATAAATTTCGCTGTTTTAGGTCCGTATTTATTTATCATTTCCCTCTTATCTTTGGTTGTGTTAATGGAAAGCTTTAAGCATTCCTTTGAATATTTAGCTAATAATGTCAATCGAACGCCGGAGAACAGTTGGTGTATTTTTGATTGTAATTTATGCAGTGTAATACTAAAGGTAAAGACTCCCCCCTTTTTTTGACTTAACATCAGCAACATTAAAAAAAGTATTTCAATGTATTTAGAATCACATTATCCCTTTGTGTTTCTTTTGGATCTTAACAACACTATTTTGTAATATGAAAATGTATTATAAATACTCAAGGTTGTTAAAGACTACCGTTTTGATAGTTGATGATAAAATTTAAATTATTCCGTTCTTTAAACAAGAATTACATGTATATTCCTTTCTTTTTATAGAAAGCAAAGCTTAGTATTACCTTTCATATATTAACTTTTTCGTTCATTCTGTTTTTTACTTACTTTATCAACATCTTATGTTATGATTAACTTCATTAGGTTTATTAGTCTGATGATCTGAGAAAAACAAACATAGGACATATATTTTTACTTGCTTAGGGTTAAGGAAAAAATTATTACTTTATAACGCGAGCGTATTTATCCCTTCAAATACTTTTCATATGAAGATAAATCACATGTTTGTAAAATAATTTGTGAAAGTGTTTGAGAGTAAAAAGTCCCGATTCCAGACAATAATAGGTATATAACAATAATGAGCTATGTAATAAAGATAAACAAAAATAATTGTATATTTTGTTATAGTGCAACATGCTTAAAAACATATACATTTCATTATAACAATAAATGATCTAGCCATAACTCAGATAAGTTAACTACTGTTAAAAAAATGTCACCACAAAATTATGTAACAACTATTCAAATACATCTCTTTCTTCTCTGATAAAAATGAAAAGTGCATATGTTGATGAGGACTGGATTTCTTACATTTGATAAGATAAATGAACTGACTGTCCATAATCTAAGGTATCATTTTTTTCAAAATTAGTTGTTGGTAAATAATAATTGGTATACATAATGTCATCGTGCATGATGCATCTTATCAGAACATGTATTTTGTTATCTATGGCACAGTTTGAACAATAACTGCATCGCCTTTCTTTAGCTTGAACTTGTGATCATTAGTACCAATGTGCCTTAGTGTCTAATGGGAACAACTCATAAAGGACAGACACCGACTCGTCGGATTGATCTAAATAACTGCAGGTTCACTCTTTGTTTTTCTATATCTGATTTGTAAAATGTTTACATACGAAGTTTATTAAAATCAAAATCCAAAACGTTCAAACGCTCCTATATTGTTCTCCTTGCTGTTATTGTCATATAAGAAGAATCTAAATTAAATATATCATATTAAAACATTGAAAAAAAACCTATACAAACATTTAGAGAGTACCGTCCGTGTGTCCTATTCTTAATTGTAGGATTTTTTCAAATAAGAGATTCTAAATATTTAATATACCTCACGCCTCACTCTTAATTGTATTTGATTTGTTTATGATTACGTTTTTACTAAGCTTATTTTCTGTAAGATTTGTCGTTGCTCAAAATTGTTTATTATTTTTTGTGTATACGTGAACGTCATATTCAGGCTAAAGTTATCTCTAGATCTTGAATAACAGCTATTACGTAGTAATTACACAGTTCATTCATTACTTTAAATTAGAATTAAACTAAAATAATTAACCAACATTAAAACTTTTTACACAAAATATCAGAAACTATTACTTGAAATGTTACGCTAAATTTTATTTCAATTTTCAATCTAAGTGATATTTACTTCTATCACAAAATCAGTTTACACTGAATACTTTAACAATTGTAATGCGTTTCATAAATCGCACAGAACTCGAATTCAAACTCAAGGTCTATGTGACCTCAATGAACCCTTATTCGACTACAAAGAAAATTTAAGTTTTGAATTTCTATAACGTTTTTGACTGAGAATTTGTGAATTTTTAGGTTTCAGAAACAGTGTTTTAGTTTTGAATATCTTGTTTTGGATTTTTATTTTTCCAAAAACAAAAAACCAACAAGATAAATAAAAATTACTCTAAAAAAATGTCGGGCGTTTGAAGTGCCTTTTCTAGATTTATGTTTTTGAGGAATGCTCAAACCATACATTTAAAACAGCGATACCTAGACACGTCAGGAGCTTCCTGACCAAAACCACCGAAAGAAAATACCTTTTTACATTTCGTGCGTCTAAGGCGCTTTTTTGGATTTACCTTTATAAGACTCGTTCAAACCGAAAACAAAGAAAACCAAGAATGATAAATGCTCAAACACTTCTGGAGCTATATAACTAGAGGAGACCGAAAAAGAATAGTCAAATACATCTAAATTCAACCTTGGTAAAGGAAGTTGGAACCTTATTGTCGATCATTTTCTAAATTTATCAACGGAGATATCAATAAAGCAGTGTTATAAATCATATCAGCTCCGAATCACTGACTACCCAGCTAATGATACTTTCGTAAATCTACATTGAAAAACGTTGTACGGACTTTTGACGATGTAAACAGTTAAAATTGGAAAAAAGATACCTTATACTGATATCAGATTATTACAATAAATATTTTTCAGTTACCGTCTCCATGATTACACTTCAAAACAATATGATGTTAAGAAATACTGATATAATTGTCATTGTCTGTTAATATCATCTGTCCTTATTACAAAGGAATAATATCCGTTCATTCGTCTAGCTTATTTTTTTTGCTCTGTTTTTTAATTGTTATCCTGTCGTTGGATCTAAGAGATTATTGCCAGAGTCAGTTGGATGACCACGTTCTGGAAAAGATAAGTGTTAATGTAACTATAAATTCGTGTTTCCAATTGATGTTAAAACGAATCGGTGCAACAAATGAACTTGCTTTTTATCGAACGACTTTCATCTTATGGTACATTCAGTTTACGTTTTGCCATGGTATTGTCAGTTTGTCTTCTACTTATGATTTTATAATGTGCCCTTGCTTTTTCCATACTCTTATTTGTAAAATAAGAATAATGTCAATATGATGTTAAGGTCCTGGCGCTTGCTTTATGATAGTCAAGCGAATCGAAGTTAATATTCCTGTTTGATATTTCTAAATAAGAAATAATGATTGTTTACTTTAAAGGTCGAACTTTCACAACACAAAAATGTCTGAAATCTTCTACATACTGCATGAAATAAAACGGAATAAGTCTTATTTCTAATCAATGTCCATTATTTTATGTCTGTTGTATGTTGACTGTTTTTATATTAGAACCCGCCAATTCAAAACATATTCGGAGGATTTCCCGCGTGTTGAGATCCGAATTAACATTGCAGAATTCTAAACCATTAATTATTATAGTTGCACCTATCATTTTAAAAGCGATATTTGACATTGTAAACGATATAAAGTATGTTTGTTTCATTGATGGTCATCTTATGAATCGTTTAAATGGCCAACTACGTAGGATGGAGACGACTCTTATTCTAATTTATTAAATGTGCGTACGCAAAAAAATCTTAACTGCAATTGTTTAAAATAAAATGAAAATAAATAATTGAGATATGATTTGAGTTAAGGCAGATTCATTATATTTCGCCATTTTTGATTGTACAATAGCAGTACACAATCGGTCTAGTGCTTTGCCGAAATCTGCAAATTTTGAGACAGATTAGAGATTTATTGCATTATCAAAAATGTTTGAACAAACACCCAATATTTTATTTTTTAGAATCATATTTTTTAACTTGGTCATTTAAGGGGAGATATCTCTTACAGTAAAATTTTTATACTGGAATGATAGTGAATTATTCATTTTTTACTTGTAGAAAGATAACAAGTTTGGTGACATCATTTTTTCTTTTTATGTTTTTAATGCATATTCACTGTGTCGAAACTACCCCGGCAAAAAATATTTAGACTCAATGGTATCTTATATCCGGTACGGTGACGGACCATCAATAGACAGAAGAAATGTAGGATTTCTGTTTACTTTTTTGTTATTTTTATGATATTGAGGAATATAAATACATCTATAACTGTTTTCGATTGTGAGATGTTATATGTTCTACAACCGTTCTAGATTAACGGAGACATAAGTAAAAAGGCACGTCAAAATGATGAAATGAGTGAACCTTACTTCGAATTTGTTTAATTTCTCGTAAAACTGTGCACGTTGTACGGAAAGAAAGGTACGGAAAGAAAGGTATTAACATGGAGATTGCAAGACTAGTCACGTTGAGCACCAATGTTTGTGCTTCTGTGCATTAAACGAAGGAAATAGGTCAACAGCTATGCGTGCTCAAGTGTGAAACTCGCGTTAGGTATAAGATACAAAACAAAGATAAAAAAGAAACAAGCTGGTTGTTACCACCACGTTTCTTTTGTTACTTTTGTTTTGTATCTGATTTGTTCGAAGTTTTTAATTAGAAAGTAATACATTTTACATTTAATGGACGTTTGGATAAATAAAACGATTGAACACCAAAAAATATCCATACCAGTTGTATGTACTACGATGTGTGGAGATATCTATTGTCTATAAAAAATAGGAATTTTGTGTGAACACTGGCGCTTCTCAATTCTATAAGCTGTGTGCGAGTGAAATTATTTCTTTTTTTATACATATATCATATATATTTCATTCCGTACAATGTGCACAATTTAACGAGAATTTAATCAAATTCGATACAAGGTTCACTCAATTCATCATTTTGACGTGCCTTTTTGCTTATTTCTCCGTTAATCTAGAACGGTTGTAGAACATATTATATCTCACAATCGAAAATAGTTATATTTGTATTTATAATCTTCAATATCATAAAAATAATAAATATATAAATAGAAATCCTACATTTCTTCTGTCTGTTGTAATGCTGTAGACTATTTGCCTGATATCGTCCATTAAAGGACAACTTTAAATTATATACTGGTAGACTAGTTAATTCCGTTTTTTTTTACTTCGTTATTTTTCGTGTTAATAAGGCCCAGTTAATAGTTTCATTAACTCAGTATTGTCAACATTGCTTATATGAAAACTTACCCCTTTTATACCTGTACCTGATCAGATAAATAAGCCCAACTACTGAAGCGAAGGCAACTATTGTAATCAACGGGATCAGATATTTGTCGTTATTATCCATTTTGTCTGAAACAATAATTTATGTGTTGAGTATTTCAAAATATATTATTTATCCATAAAATCAAAAATTACGAAGTTGAGCAACAATAGGGTGTTAAATGTTTAAAATGTTACAGTATTTGTATCACTTTAAATTTGGTTTAGGAAACCAATATTTGTCTAAACTGTACACATTTCTTTCTAAAAAGTGCTAAAATGGCAATAGAAACACCTCTATACAAGCAGACCCAAATATAATGAAAGTTCCAACTATGTACTGGCTTCGAAAGCTGCACAAAACTCCTTACAAATATAGATTTATTTCGTCTTCAAGTCATTGTTCCACTACTAAACTATCTATTTACTTACTAGTACACTTGGTACAATCAAAAACCTGGTAATAAATTCTTCAAATAAGGCCTTTGAAAATAGTGGAATTAATTACTTTTGGAGTGTCAAAAATTCGTTGGAATTACTTGATAAATTACATGCTTATATTGCTTATATTGGTGATTTCGAATCCGTTCAAAGTTTTGATTTTTCTACCCTATATACCACTTTGCCTCATAATCTTATTATGAAAAAAATCACACACCTAATTAAATGGGCATTTAAAAAGTCGGAATGCGAATATATATGTTCAAACTCTTTTAGGTCTTTTTTTAGTATCAACAAACAAAAGAACTATGTCAATTGGACCTGCTTTGATACTATAACTGCCCTTGAATTTTTACTAGACAACATTTTTGTTCGCTATGGAGATTCCGTATTTCGTCAGGTTATCGGAATTCCTATGGGGACTAACTGTTCATCACTTATTACGGACCTGTTTCTGTATTGTTATGAGTTACAATTTATGACTAAAATCAGCAAAGACCCATCGAAACAACATCTGATTCAAAAATTTAATAACACTTTTAGATATTTAGATGATATATTGGCTCTCAATAATGACGACTTCAGTATGTACACTAAAGAGATTTATTCTGCCGGACTGACTTTAAATAAAGCTAATACTAACAATGAACACTGCCCTTTCCTGGATCTTGATATCTATATCTTTAACGGGAAGCTTAATACCAAAATTTATGATGAAAGAGATGATTTTTTATTTCCTATTGTTAATTATCCATTTTTAGATGGTGACGTTCCCTTGTCACCATCTTATGGTGTTTATATATCTCAACTTGTTCGATTCGCTCGTGTATGTAACAACGTATTTCATTTCAACGAAAGAAATCTCTGTATTACTGAACAATTATTATACCAGGGTTTTCGATATCACAAACTAGTCAAAATATTTACTAAATTTTATCGTCGGTACAAGGACATCATTCGTAAATATAAATCAACATGCAGACATCTTATACGTTCAGGTATTTCACATCCAATATTTTATGGTAATATTCTTTACAAAGTACAAAAATGTCGGCATACACCTCAAAAGCTAACCAAACCTTTAAATAGACTTATTCGGAAAGGATATAGTTACGATACTGTTGTAAGATCATTAGGGACTACATATTTTGGTATCAATATTGATTCACTAATAGGGTCTTTGCATCGGAAATAAACACATTTGTTCTAAAACCAGTTGTTGGCATGATACGGGTTATGTTCTTCTCATATATTATATAATGGTATGATACTAAACCCCTAACGGGAGGGATTGTACTTGATTTTCATATGATGAAGACATAATCTTTCAATCAGTTTAATTGAGGTCCGGAGCTGGCATGTCAGTAACTGCAAGTAGTCCTTTGTTAATTTATGTATCATTGTCATTTTGCTTTGTTTCTTTTGTTACCTATTCTGACATCGGACTCGGACTTCTTTTAAACTGAGTTTTACTGTGCGTATTGCTATGTGTTTCTTTATTCTACATTGGCTAGAGGTATACGGGGAGGGTTGAGATCTCACATGTTCAACCCCGAGTAGTTTTGCGCCTGTCCCAAGTCAGGAGCCTCTGGCCTTTGTTAGTCTTGTATGTTTTTTAATTTTAGTTCATTTATATGTTTTGGAGTTTAGTGTGACGTCCATTTTCACTGAACTAGTACACAATTTTATGTAAGGGCGGCCAGCTGAGGACCACCTCCGGGTTCGGGATTTTCTTGCTGAGTTGAAGACCCATTTGTGGCCTTCGGCTGTTGTCTGCTCTTTGGTCGGGTTGTTGTCTCTTTGACATATTCCCCATTTCCATTCTCAATTTTAATATCTGATTTTTGAAACATATGCAGGGTAGTCACCTATGTTTTTATTCCATACCTTTGCAGAAGTCAATACTCTGACGAATAAGAGTATAATTCCGTTTTCCAACGTTGCAAGTGAAAAGAATTTCTCCTTTGCATATATAACTATGCATGTCCAAAGTATAAATGATCCGAACATTATACAATTGGAAGTAATCTTCTCTGAAGGAATGCTTAGTTGGAAGTTTGAAGATATTAACCGGTATGACATTTCTCTGAAAAAGACTTGCACTGTTTATTCAACAACTGGTGCATAATTGTCACAATGTGGTCAAATGCATACATTTTTAATCATAGGCTTATCATACCTTCACAAATCTCATTTAACGAATAGCTTACCTCTTAACGTTGCGATATGTTATTTACGTTTCATGATACATTTTCGTATGATATATGAATGCAACGCTAAATTTTCTATGTTTTTATAAAAGTAATTTGTTGAATCAAAACTATTAATCATGATTAAATCACATTAGATATTTCATATGAAAATGACTTTAGCCGGCGGATCAGTTTTTGCACAACAAAATGCTTAGGATCACTACCTTAAATTATTACACGCGTCATTTTATAGTTAAGAAAGGCATCCAAATTCAGTTTCATTATAATAAAAAAATGTGTTTATTCGAACGACTTAAAATGAAAATAAATATTTCTGCCATGCAGCATTATAAATAATCATACCTCGTATGTTAAAAAACATTTTGGAAATGGATAAACGTTCAGCTGAATGTCAATCTGATATTTTCCAGCTCTTTTCATAGTGGTAATATTATGTATATCTGGAGGATCTGCAATATGTAAGATATAATTAAAAAAACGGATAACATATTTTATTTTTATTGCTTTCTAGAGGACATTTCTGTTTGTAAACTATGTCATTAGAATACACAGAGTCATACTTGAGCTGAAAATGGTATAATAAATCATTTTTGAAGCGTATACTGTAGGCATAATTTGTTCCAAAACATATAGGTTGCGCTTGTAAATATAGTCAACACAATGTCCCATAAGAACTCCTTTTATGGCTAAACCTGGGCCACTTTTACTGTGAAGTTTCGTAAAAAAATAATATTCTAGAGTGAAAAGTTAAACGCGCGGCTGGTGCAAATGCAAAATTTCAATCCTTGTATCTATGATGAGTTTATTTAGATGAATTGCTGTTTTGTAGAGGTCAAAACATAGGTCTGTGCGGCATATTTTCAACATGTATATGCCTCGAACTTCTAAAAGTTTAAACTTATTCTAAAATTCTTTACTACCCCTGTCTTTACTTTGGGTCTTCCTAAGAATTCAATTTGGCCGCTATTCATGCGTATGTATACTGGTGAAATTTTCAAGTTCAGTCTCAATGAGATGAACAATAGAGATCACATCTAGGAAGTAGTAAGTCATCAAAACAAAATATCGATAAATGCTTTAAACATTGTATCTTCCAAAAAAAAACTCGTTTTCTGACATGAAATGACTAAAACCTGTATAAAAGAACTCCTGTAAGAAGTTGAAAGCATTTCAGAATACTATAAATGTAAAGTTTAGGTGGTCGATAATTCCAACATTCAAGATAATATAAAGTATCAAATCCTGCCTCTGATTCCAGTCCACATCTTACTGTATGCCTATTTATCTATAAAAGGTCTAACATAATTTGGGTAATGATGAACTAAAAGTCTTAAAACAAAATCATATTTGTAAAAGTTGTATGAATGAAGTTACAAAATGTACCAGTTTAATATATAAATTCATTATTTTTTTTTAGAACTGAGTGTTAAAAACTTCAAAGCATAGTTATTGTTTTCTATACAAAAGACCTTTATAATAATAAAATCATTGACTTTACAGGTTACATTTTCTGTTTTATGACCCAGTGGTTAGTGATTTTTCTCAGTTTTTTGCCATTGTGATCTCAAAATTTTAAATAGTTCTACTGTTTCTATGAATATTGAATAATTTTTATGTAGTATATTTTTAGGATTGAACACACTATTGTTAGTTTTACAGATGTATTTTTGTATCTCTAGCTAGTATTTATGTATGCCACAGTCTCATGTAAAGACATTCAGGTGCTCCTGCTTACTTATGGGTTTTCAACAGGACAAGAATCACATAAACAACAATGATCATAAAGGATCTATGAGTTTCAATAACTTCTTAACAATTTAAATTAAATGTACATATATATGAATATATTATAAAATTACTTTGCATACCGGACTTTAGGTAACTATGTTAACTGTAAACTGTGAATGTATTCTGAGTCATCATATTTTTAATGCTAATGCAAGAGGGACAATAGAAAACTAAACACTAAGCAACACGAACCCCACCAAAAACTGGGGGTGATCTCAGGTGCTCCGGAAGGGTAAGCAGATTCTGCTCCACATGTGGCACCCGTCGTGTTGCTTATGTTATTACAAATGCGGTAAATAGTCTAATTCGGTAAGTCACATTCGTGAAAAGGGAAGGGTATTGTAGTTACGACATAAGGAACATATCCGATATCATCTGTGAAATGGCTATTCCATAACGGTCAACCAACGCGTGATGGCGTCCGTAAAATTTAAGAAGGGATGATTTCAACTTCACCATTTGGAACTCTTGGCTTAATAGCTTCGTTGTGAGCAGCAATCCTCTATCAAGGAAATCATGATAGGAAACACAAGCCCGGGCATATCGTATCAATTGGGAGATATATACTCCGTATGCAGGCGCTGCTGGAATTTTGCTACATAGAAATGGAAAGTTCACAATAGGGAAGCTGAAATCATCTCTTTTGTCGTAAAGTTTTGTTTTCAACCGACCCTCATTGTCAATTTCTAGATGTAAGTCAAGTTATGAGGCAGACTTAACTGTATCTGTAGTATCCTTTATCTCTAGTTCGATGGGATAGATTCGTTCAACATAGTCACCAAATTTTGTATTATTTATCGAGAGAACATCATCTATATAGCGGAACGTAGAGTTAAAGGATATTGCTAACTTCTTATCTTTCTTCCTAACAAGTTCCTGTATGAAGTCAGCCTCATAATAATAAAGAAACAAGTCGGCAAGAAGAGGGGCACAATTGGTTCCCATTGGAATTCCGACAGTCTGTTGAAAAACACGTCCTCCAAACGTAAAACATATGTTGTCAATCAAGAAATCAAGCATATTGATTATGTCAGTTTCAGAGAATTTTTTGTTTAAATCAGATTGATTCTTTACAAAGTAGGATTTATCCCTCCCCAAGACAAGATACTTGTATCTACGTTCGCCATTCTTTTTGATGAAACAAAGTAATACCAACTCTTTCAATTGCAAGATGAGAGAGTCTTAGATTGTATGTACTCTAAAAGATCTTTGGAATTTTTTAGTATCCACATCTGATTCACGCCACCTCTAGAATAGGCAGTTTCACAATAACTTTGGAGCCCGGCTTTGATTGCTGATAAAATAAATGTTAATAATTTAAAAAGAGGTTTCGTGGAGCACTTGGAAAACCCAGCAATATACCGTTGTTTGTAAGGACACTTATGTAGTTTTTCTCAATCTTCGAAAAACTTTATATTTGAGTTGATTTGATTAAAATCTCTGAAGATAAACCAGGCTTAGGGAAATTCTACATGTGCTCTTCTTCATCCAATATAGGTTGAATTTCTGTGAATATACTCAATGTAATGTCCCATAAGGATTCCTTTTACGGTTTAAAGTGTTCCACTTTTAGTTTGAAGTTTCGTAAAAAAATTATTATATCCTAAAATGGATAGTGTATATGCACTGCTGTTTTTTCAAAGATCAAAACTTAGGGTTACGCGGCATATTTTCAACATTTATATGCCTCGGACTTCTAAGTGATTTAACGTATTTTAAAATCCTTTACTACCCCTGCATTCACTTAGGGTCTTCCTCAGAATTCAATTTGAACGCTATCCATGTGTATTTAGGAAAGGAGTTTAAAACCTCACTCAAAACTGATGGATTTGATGTTATTTGTGACAATAAATCATGGATTAACTAACCCAAGTTGAAACAAAGCCTACATCATGTATATTGGTCTTACTATGTACACAATATTCTCTACCGTACTTTAAAGACGCACAATTATTAAGATATGTTTTTAAAGTAAACTACCGACTCAGTAATACAAGCTCATATAATTGTCTATTCAAATACGTTGTGTGCAGCTTTCATCGTTGTATTGTCAGTACGTTTTCGTCTTATTAGTTTTAATATCACTTTAGTATCTTTCGCCTTCCTCTTTCTAAGAACAGCAACACAATGTACTTTACTCTTGTGGCAAATTTTTAATTTCTTAATACAAAATCAATTTGAAAAAAACAACAACAAAGTCATATGAAAGCATAATTGGCGTCGTTATTTTATAAATAAACTCATCACCATGATCATAAATACTATGATTAAGTCTTTTACTCCAGGCACTCATCTTGTCCACCATCAGTGAGAGTCAAATCCAAAAGGTCAAACAGGCCAAATAAAGAACAAAGTTAGAGAGCATTAGGGATACACAATTTCAACAGGTGTTGCAAATACAACTGGGGTAGAAAATCCTTAGTAATTCGAAAAAGGCAAAGTGTTTTAAACAGCTAATTTATAGTTATGACCATATCAATAATAATTTATGCCAACATACAAGTGCTGACTATAGAGGATGCCCAATTCAATCACTCAACGATGAAATTTCGTATTCATGATAACATTTTCTCAAATCAATACTTTGGTGGTACACAAAGACGTTATTTGACTATTTATCAACTAAACTGTTATTATATTCAGCAAATGTTATAACTTGTAGCTCGTATACAGAGCAGCAGTATGTAGAAATTCTTTTTTGGCAAAAACAAGATCGATACACAGTCATGCTCTGCCGTTTTTCAGTTTTTTTCTTTAATTCTAAAATTTTTCATTAGAATTCGTTTAATACTGGAACTACTGGAAAAAATAAGTAAACTTTGTTATACAAAACTGAAATTTGAAGAAGTCGTCATGAGTATTGCCTCGGTTTTATACGTGTTTTGAAATGATTAATACAAAATTAAAACCCATTACAAAGAAAGACAATTTTGAAATGTTCAAAGAAATCGATACAACCTGTTGATAAAATCATCCGTTAAACGTAAATAGTGATTCCCAGTAGAACATGTACAGCCTTAATTTTTCTTCAAAGCTGCGTTAGGTTCATCTCTATTAAATTATTTCTTTCATTGTAGAAGAAAGTTGTATTAGTTTCAGTAAATAAATCTGTATTTTTTTTTAATAGGAAAGTTTGAGTAAATAAAAGTAATTCTGCTAGATAAGAACGTGTGAAACTTTTGTGTAGAGGGTCGAAAAACAATATTTAAGGACAATAACACTTCTAAAAGTCGCTTCATGGTGTTAATTATTAGGCATTATGTGATGCTGATAATTTTTGCTGTTGACATTATCTATATATATTTGAAAGTTTTCTGGATAATGTGTCGACTTATTGTTTGCCGATTACTGAGAGTCATAGAGTCAAATAAACGATTAATAATTTAAAAACAACTTGAGATGTAGATATCCGAGAACGTTGTTGTTTCAATGTGAATGTTTAAAAACTCGTATCATATGTCATTTTTATAAGCAGTATCTTTTTTTTTTAAACACACGAATTAAGCAGATGGACCTCCTCTTTAAAATTTGAATACAAACGTTACTTTTAATTTTAGAAACCCTCACCCTGATAAAAACCTATTGTAAGATTATCACAAATAAATTGATAGTCTGCATCCAGACGATGTTGTATAAATCCAAACACAACAAAGTATTATGAAATTACGTTCCAAGGAGACATATGTGCTTGTTGTGACTGAACAAATATGTAAAACTGAGAACAAAAATGATAAGGTTTATCTGTATATTACATTACACTTACAAATATAGTCAACACCCTCTAAATCTAACGTTTCTGTATGTTGATGTAATCCACAGGCGCAGGTATATCTACAAGAGGTATCTTCAACTGCAATATTTTTTATCATCATACCAAAATCAGCAATAGTGTCATTGACCATAATTGCATATTTTGAGGAATCTGCAGAATAACCATTATAACACAACAGCTTGTAGCTAGGTCCTCCAATCCATTTCTTTATAGTATTAGGTTGACATGCACTTCCATCACAAGAGAGTTGAACATCCTCTCCAAAAACCAATGGTTTAGATTTTAAATTCCATATAGCTAGAAAAAACATACTTTTATATACAAAACTGTAACATATCAGTCATTGATATCCACATATTATTACGCAATATTCATCCTCATAGTTGACACAGCCACAAATACATCCCAAAATACCGCATGCATGGAAAATCCTGATCTGAAATGCTCTCAATTATAAACCACATATACTTTATTTCCTATATAGAACATAAGACAATGTGTCTATATATCAAGTTTATACGAACACATGAACGCATGTTTGTAATAGTTGTACACAGAGGGATAGGTGTGTAGGCGTTGTATTTGGCAGAGGAGACTGAACATACCGAAATATTAATAACCCAAAGTACTTATCAGTCTAATGAAGGTAATCATTAATGTATTTTACATGTTTATTAAAAAAATATGTAGAAACTCCACTTTTGGGGCTATTGCTAATTTTTATAGGGATAGACCCCTTTTTAAGTAACGGTTTTTATGTTCGAACACCCCATTAAATATGGGTGGACTACATACCATTCTGTTATTTTAATTCTAAACAGAACGGACATGTTATAGAAAATTCCCAGCTGCTCCCCTTGTACTTTCAATTGTTTTCCAGTAACAAGGAAGTTATTTTTATCATTTGTTTTTAATTCCCCAAAAATAATAAGTATTAAAATAACAATTATGCATATTATTGGATCTTTGATTAGTCAATAAACTATTGTTACCAGAAATCCCATAGATGATGTAAATATTTTAACACTCTAGAAACATGAATTTTTTTACCTGCAGTTAACGATGTATTTCAACTTTTGCTTCAAGATGAATGTGAAGATTTGCGCTTAGGAGAATGTGGTTCTAAATGTATTAATAGTAGAAAATGTGTTAATCCAATGCATAAATTCGACACAACAACGAAAAGTTTCTAGAAGGCTGATCATATGCATCTTTTATAAAAAATTAAAATCCTTGAATTCATGAATATAACTGATTTCAGGGCTACCCCGATCCTTGATTACAGAGATAGCAGACTTTGCATTGATTCTATAATACAAAAATGCAATTTCTATAAAGTAATGGTATCCATTTCTGTAAAAAAATTTTAACATGTTTCGATTTATTTTATAAACTAGTGAAACTGCATTTCTATATACATTTACATATATGGACTGAGATAGAAAATGCTCTTTAAGTGCTATACGTCAGACCAGAGCTCTTTGAGCATCACATTTGAAATGTTTCATAACTATTAATTATCTAAATTATTCAGACAAAATCCTTGTAACATCAAGGTAACATAATTATATTGAAATTGGTAGATACATATTTGTATTTATTGACTTTTCGTAATAGTAAAAGTTCAATGATATGTTAATATTGATATTAAAAGACCTCCGAACAAAAAGGGATGTTCAGATCCCCGAGCCCGAAGGTCGAGGGGATTTGAACAGCCCTTTTTGTGAGGAGGTCTTTAAATGTAAATATTTCCTTAATCATTGAACTTTTACTGACTTACAAACCGTCAAAAACATTACAAATAGTACACAAAAAAGCACTCGCAGAAACCCTAATTCCCCTGAATTGGACGAGTTTAATAGTCCAACTAAAATGATAGTTAAACAGTACTCAGACTGATATGTTATAGATATAGCATATTTTAAGGTTTTTCTTGTCGAAGAACACACCGAGGGGTGTCAGGATTGATCAAATGAAAGACCGACCGTAGGGAGGTCTTTATTGGGAAATCCTGACACCCCGAGGTGTGTTCTACGACAAGAAAAACCTTAAAATATGCATTATCTGACTTATATACCGTCAAAAAAATATTATTTTCTACAAAGATTTGCAGAATAAGCATCCTATTTTACCGACCACACTAAAGTGGGATATTCCTTTCTGATGCGTTCAGGTTTTAATACGCCCTACGGCTCATTTAGAATGTGAAATACAACTCACTAATTAATCTAGATATAAACGTTAGAAATCATTATCCAGAGACAATAAAAATATTACTGTAACTGCATGAAGAAAGACACAAACGAATTGTTACCACCCGATAACGGTGAATGAAAAATACAAGTCACTTTGTGAGTAATTTATTGTACCAACTTAGTTTATGGAAGGGGATGCTATGTTGGTTTTTTTTCTATTTGTAATGACATTTTTATCGCGGAAAAGTGTTTATTTTTTCAACATTTTTTAACGAATGAACTATTCAAAATAATTTTCTTTTGAATTGCAGTACATTTTTTTTAAACAGAGAATCAGGATTTAATTCTATACTCCCCGACCCCATTGTGATGTACGTGGCTGTTATTCAATAGAATATAAGAATATTTTATCAGTTTATCATGTTATATATATATATGTAAACACGAAGAATACATGTACACGTAACACGAAAACGAATATCAATACATGTAGGTCATAGTATGATTTCCTATGCAGTGTGAATCAATAAGATTTTCAAAATCCTACACACGAATGTGTTAAATCTGGCTTGTTTTAAAAGTGTAATGAAAAGTTTTACATTAAAATTAATCTCACATCTATGATAATGTCCCTTTATTGTAGCGATAAATTGACAAAACATTACATTATTTGTTACTAAAGTTGAAATGCGCGTCAATGACGATTTTTTGTTAAACTTATTAAAGATGGAACTTTAAAAAATAAATTCACTAATTGGCAACAACAAACTATCAAACGAATTAAATGTTGAAGTAAATTATAGTTTGCATTTTTATCAAGGAAAATAATGACCTCACACAGGTCATTATTTTATGCCTTGAAGCATATTTCATTGAAACATGGTATCGTCCGGGTTGATTCTTTGAAAGAATGACCTATCGTTCTGAAAGAAAATAACTCCATATAGGTATATAAATACAATTAACAGTTACCAAATTGCAATGTAAACGGACCGATTAAATTGCAGTACATCATTCAATTATTCATTTATTATATTTTTTTTACCATTAAAATAACACCAAATGATAGTTTTACAAAATTACGGGGTAAATTTATATTTTTGAATTCCACTTTTCAAAATAACGATTTCTTATTTAATAAATGAGGCAATAAAAACCCTATACAGACCTCATTTATAACTGACCAATGAATATTCTGCACAACAACTTCTTGTTATATATATATATTTGATGTTTTTAATCTGTCAGTGAATCATGAAACAGATTCGTAAAGACCAGACCTTAGAAAAAGTAAGTAAACTCTTCCAACAATTAGCTTTTTATAAACATCTTGTTTCAGAACTTCTAATCGAACAGACCTAGATGCATAAGGTCCTTCACAATATTCATCCGGTAAATGTTCATTCTGTTTTTGATTCTGTCATTTTCCTACATTACGTTACATGCGAATGCAAACAATTAGTGCTGTCTGTTCAGTCCAATTAATTAATAGATCTTGCTTTGTTTTTTTTTTAAATAAAAACTATGCATGCAAACTTCAATGAATAAAATCGTATTAAAAAGCATAAATGTAACATCTATAGCATCAACAAGGTTTCACTGGCCCGATCAAAACGTGTTTAGGTGGGATATATTCGCAGGTTCAATGTATCATATGAAAACAAACTCTTTTATTCTAGTCGTCCGTTATTCCCTTTTCATGTCTAAATGAAGCAAAAACACCTAAAAAAACCATTTACCTTTTTTAGTTTAATCCTTGCCTGACAAAAATGTTAAAAATCGTATTAAAACAGTAGATAAGAACCATAGTAAAAAAATATTTAAAACTTTTTTATAAGCAGTCAGTTATGTAATAAATTGAAGAAAGAAAAAAATAAACACAAAAAAAACCGTAAAAAATTTAAATGAAAATTGTACATTATAGCATTTTACCAGATCTTGTCTTTGAGTGCTAAGTACATGGAACAAAGTTGATTGATTGTTATTTGCTTTACGTCCAGTGGCAAATATTGCATGGATGTTCATGACTATAACACATGAATTCTTTAAACACAATAGGTTTGTCGTGCAATAGGAGGTCTACAGTGATGTTGGACCTGAAACTTTAAAATACCACTGGAAAATGAGGGTATATTGAATAAGGACAGAAATTTAGACTTGCAACAGCTGGCCACATTCGGACCACACAAATAATTGGTGCAAGAGTTTTTAATTTGACGAGAGCGTTGATCTATGAAATTTACATTAAAGTCGATCAGCGATGTTTACTTGTAGTTTACAATATCATTTCACGCATTTAATTCAGGTTAGATACTTTTACATGTAGCTCGCTTTAGCTTTAACTTGTTTTGATTCGAGCGTCACTGATGAGTCTTTTGTAGACGAAACGCGCGTCTGGCGCAAATATAAAATTTTAGTCCTGGTATCTATGATGAGTTTATTTAGTAACTGTGAGAAGTCTGTGAAACTGTATTGTTTTTTGTACTTGAGTTTTGGGTATGATATTATGTACTACCGCTCTCCTGATTGGTCTCATGTGAGGGTGTTCCCCTCGAGAGCGGGAGGCTGTTTGTTCGAATCCCGACCGGGTCAAAGAAATACGTTAAAATTGGTATTTGCTATTTCAACGCTTAACACGTGGCTTCATAGAGTAAGAGCACAGACTGGTCGGCTCAGAGTCGGAAATGTGTCCGGGTAGGGTGACTTTTCTTCCTGCGAACTTATATAATTATATCTTGTGAACTTACGTGTAAAAACACCGACTCAGCGTGTCAGTCTAGTAAAAATCGGGGTTAATACTCATATTGTTTTTACATGTTATCGTCCTGAATATTCTTTTTATTTGGCGCTGGTCGTAATCCATTATCATCATTTATTTTACCGTTAAATCATACAGTGAAGTGTTTTTCTTCTACTGGTTTATATTACAACTTCTTAAATTTTCACCGATCAAAAATAAAATAGGGCAGGTGAAATTTTTGAATTTCAACCAAACACTTGTGTTTGTTGGGATATCTTTGACGGTAAATAATATCAAATCAAATTTGACTTTTGGGATAAATAATATTTGACGGGTACTAATATTGAATTAACTCCGTATTA